TTCCCTGCTAGCAAGGAAATGTTCGGAGTACGTCCGTGAATGTAGTCTGAAAGTCGAACGTCGAATGTTCGGACCTGACGTTCAGCAAACGTTGTCTGAACATTCACTCTGAACATTCGTTCCCAAATAAATTTCTTTTTTTGCTGTCATTTCACTTGATTTAGATTTTATATCTTTAAAACTTTTATGACTGTTATTATTTTTTATCAAATTTTTATTTTTCACTTCTTATACAAAGTGCATACTTCCGAATGTTGTTTGAACGTTCTTGAACGTCTTCCGGACGTTTTCATAAATGCTGCTTTAAAAAAACTTCCAAAAAAACGAAGGCATTACAAAGAGCTTTATTTCTCCCTACAAAATAAATTTTTAAGATTTTTTTGTTACTCTTGCTGTTATTCTAATGCAAACGTCTCTTCTATGTCTTAATAAAAAATAAACAAATGTTCGGACTTGACGTTCGCCGAATTTTAATACATTTAAAACCTTTATGGTGGTTAATATTTCTGACAAAATCTCTTTTTGTCATTTTAGAGAGTCTGAATGTTGTCTGAAAGTCATCTGTTCGTCCGTGTGTGTCGTTTAAAAATTGGGTTTCTAACTTCAATACCTTATTTAGCCAGTAGGGGGCTCCACGCCCGTCTAAACATTATCCTCGCAATTCAAATAATGGTTTTAAGTCCGATTTTTCTCATTTCCTTTCCTGCATAATCTACGTTGCATTTATTCAAACGTAATGTAAATGTATCTCAAAGGAGTGTAATACTTAAATAAAAGTCCAATAAGTACTTCCATTTGGAAAATATGTATTTTCTGCAGAGTGACGTCACTTCCCAACTCGGATTTCTGCAGTTAAAAAGCAACGGAAGTGATGGGATCTACCTTGTTCGGTAAGTTATTAGTTTCCATACTTATTTCTTTCATATTCTAACCTGGCAAGTGGTTAAAGCGTAAAAAGCAACATAACTTGTTACCTTTTGTGTGCGTTTATATCTCGCTAAGCTTCGTCCTTCTTCGTTTCGAGCACGTGGCGCCATTATCTCATGACTTCTCAACCTCTATTATAAAGTTTGACTCGACCAGAAATATTTATCTACGTGAAGTGTCCTGCTCTTTTTCCCCTAATGTTACTTGTCCTGGGCCACCGAGTCAACATAACTGATAAGCAGGTAATCGGGAGAGTTTGAACGGACCGCTTCGTTCATATACTGAGGGCTGTAGGAAAAAACATCATGGCGTCAGTCCGCATGTCTACTACTGAGGAGAAGTTTAGCTGCTGGCAACAAGTACAGCTGAGTGGGAATTAAGTTTTTCAGCGCATAAAATTATAACATTTAAAAACTTGAGTTCTACATTGTCCTTTTAAAAAGCCAGATTAAAGAAAATAAATGCATTAATATGCATTTATTTTCCAAATGTGCAAAGCTTACTGACATTTTCCAACACAGCCATGAGAGGCAGCTGGTAATGGAAGTTACACCATTTAATTTTCTTTTGGAATCAATTTTTTTTTTTAATGTAATAATTTCTTTTTAATCCATAGCTGGAATCTAACTGACAGCAGAATCTAGAGCAGGGGTGGGCAACTCCAGGCCTCAGGACTCCTGCAACTTTTAGATGCGTCTCAACTTCAACACACCTGAGTCAAATAATGAGGTCGTTAGCAGGACTGGAGAACCTGACTGCACTGAGGAGGTGATTCAGCTGTTGGATTCAAGTGTGTTGGACCAGGGAGCTGCCGGACACCGGCCCTCCAGGACCAGGATTGCCCACCCCTGCTCTAGAGGACCAGGAGGCACTGAAGTGGTCTAGTTAATGTAAACTAGTTAATGGTTACTTGTGGATGAACAAAAAAATCTAAATGTTCAGTCTGATCTATAGTAGCATGGTATTGTTGAGCCTGTGGTTTATCCTGAGCTACTGTAAACACTGTCTGTCTTTTCCTTCACTCTGGATCATCAACTACAAAATAATATACAGCTCTACATATTAATAGCACATTTGTTGGTATCGCAGCACAAACTACTGGGTGATGTTCTGTTTAATTCAGTGTTAGTTAAATTGCCAGTTAGATCTGATGTTTATCTTATTATTTCAAGGTCCTTCAAAGAGTTGTTGATGCTGATGGCTGTGAGCAGGAAGGACCTCCTGTAGCAGTCTGTGTTACAGCCTCTGACTGAAGACACTGTTTTTCTGATGAAGAGGACGCTCAGAGTTGGTCATACTCTTTCTTAATGGACATTATTGTGTTTATGTTTGAATGTTTCCTATTTGATTAAAGTAATGATTGTTTTTTTTTCTCATATGTAATTTCAGGTGACAACTTGAAAGTCATACAGAAATGTCGTCTGGCTGAAGATGTCAGACCTCAAAGCAGAAGCCCAAGAGGATCAGGTAAAAAGTTTTTGTAAGGCAGTAATTAGGATTATTAGCTGCAAAGAGAGAGAGAGAGAGCTGTTCATGGTTTCCTTCAGTTTGATCCCTTTATGTTGCTTCAATGTGTTTAGGAGTTACTACAGTATTACAGACCACTTAGAAATACATGATAATCAAGTATTATTGGACAAAACTTTGATTAATTGAATAAATCACGCTGATGTTTATGCAGGTTTTTAATTAAATGTTTTTGTTACAGGTGAACTGAGATCTATTCAGATTCTGAGGAAAAGCCACAGATCCAGAAAATCTCCCCATGACCAGCAGCCACAGCCTCCCACCTGTCCTCCACCTTCACCATCTCATCCACCAGCTGCTCTGTGTTCACCTGTAGCTGTTTAGTCCAACCAGTAACTCCACTAACCGACTCCCTTCAACTGGAAATTCCTCTATCAGGTAAATTTAACCATCATGTAAAAACAGTGACTACACTTTGTGTATGTATCATATTTTTAATTAAATTATTTATAGATGTAGGGCATTTTTGGATTTGATTAGTTGACGACATGAATAAGAGAGTTACATGCAAATAAAGGTTTGTGTGGTGGGAGTTTTGTCTGTTTTAGTTTTCCTGCGTTAATCCAGGTGAGCTGCAGCAGAGACTCATCTAAACCAGGACAGAGGGTCCTGACCTGCCGGGCTGAACACCCCCAGTCTACATTGTAATAAATTATTATTTTACATTACAGCTTTTTTATTATTATTCTTTGCAGACTGAAGCATTCTGTGTAACGTCTTCAAAGCCTTATGGAGTTGAAGAAGTTTGCCTGGGAAACCCCAGGATGCTGCGAGCCGTTCTGACCCGTCTGACAGTCACTGGTTCTGCTGAAGAGATGGACTCACTGGATGAGCTCGGCCTTCCAGCCTTCACTGCAGAGAAGTTGGAAGTCCTGAACCAAAAACTGGAATCAGGAGCTGTTCAGGAATAAATGGTATGTATAATTTTTTAAAAACATAATTAGCCTTTCTCTTCACATTATTCTTTCCATCTATCAGGTGCAGTACTGTTTAAATATTGACTTTTAAATTCTCTGTTTTCCTTTTTTAGTTGGATCTCCAGGGACCTGATCTGCTGTCTACAACATTTTATCCAAAATCCTCTCTCAAACCACCAAGCAGAGCAGCAGAGATCTATTCAGACTGGGTGGAGAGAGAAGTCTTTCTGGTCACCAGCTCTTGATGACTAAAATATTTAGTAAGTATAATCTCATCCATCCATTTTCTATACACCCTTGTCCCTTTGTGGGGTCAGGAGGTTTGCTGGTGCCTCCCCAGCTAACGTTCTGGGCGAGAGGCGGGGTCACCCTGGACAGGTCACCAGTCTGTCGCAGAATCTCATGTGCCTTTCAGTCTAAAATTGTGTGAATTGTTGTATATTATCCTATAGCTGGACTTTGTTATGCATGTTTCTCTGCAACCAATGAAACGTTTTGTTTCATAAAACCATGAATGATACACGTCTCAGTTTAAAATATATATATTTTGTCTGTTTTTCAGGGGCTGTACCAAAGAACCAAGCGTCGGATTCAGAACACCAAAAGTTTTAAGGCTCAAGGTTGTCTGTTTTTTTTTTTTTTTTTTTTTTTGCATGTGTCAATGCTCAAAAAAAAAGTTCTGGTGTAAATATTTCTTTTAAAATTATATTTTTAAGCACCGGGTTACTTTGACTTTGCTTTGATTTTTTATTATTGTGAATGTCTTTTCTAAAAACCCATTGTATTAAAATGTATACTGTGCTGTTTTACTTTGTTCTAAGGTTTCATGT